GGGGCTCTGAGGTCTCCCTGGAGCCAGCGACACGTTTAATTTCGGAATGCGAGGGGGTTCCTCGTGAGACATTCCTAGTGAGCGTTGGACTGTGGATTCCGGCCGGGCTCCCCCATTCGGGCTCCTCCACGCAGGAGCATCCTGGCACGGGGCTCTGCTGCCGTCCGTCCCAGCCGGTCGGGTCGGTCCCTTCTGGCTCCTACGCGGCTGATCCTGGATACAGCTTCCTGCAAATCCCTTCCTCCTTTCCCGGCAGCAAAGTACCATCGTGTGCCACAACCGCGTGGATCCCAACGGATCCCGTTACCTGCTGGGCGACATGGAAGGGCGCCTCTTCATGCTGCTTCTGGAGAAGGAGGAGCAGATGGACGGCACTGTCACCTTGAAGGACCTGCGCGTGGAGCTGCTCGGCGAGGTGGGGCTCGGCCGCGGCGCGGCTGCTCTCCCTGTCGCGTCTCCCCACGGGGCTGGGAGCGCTCCGCTGAGGATGGAGCAGCAGGAACAGTGTCTCTTTTGGAGCCCGGGATGGGGTGATGCTTCACAGTTGTCCCAGCTCAGAACTGTTGGCTTCTGGGAAATTCCCTGTCGAGGCATTTGAAGGTTTACACCTTCTTCCCAGGCTTTTCCCTGGGGTTTGTTTGCTGTCCACGGGAGAACCTTGGACTCCGGGGGTTTTATAAAGGGATTAAATTCCCATCCCGTGCCCAAGGTCTTTCCCTGTTGGGCTGCAGCTCCGACGTGGTGCGTGCGGGGTGTGGCAGGGTCCTTTCCGTGCCGGTGGAAGTTCATCTGCACCTTCTCCCTTCCCAGACATCCATTGCAGAGTGCTTGACCTACCTGGACAACGGAGTTGTGTTTGTCGGCTCTCGGCTTGGGGATTCCCAGCTCGTGAAGGTACCTGGCAGCTCTCCTCTCTCTCAGTTGTGCGTTTCCAACCCCCCTTCCATGGGCAGGGACACCTTCCACTAGACCAGGTTGCTCAAAGCCACATCCAGCCTGGCCTTGAAGACATCCAGGGATGGGGCATCCACAGCTTCTCTGGGCAAATCTTCCTTTCCTGTCTGCCCTACCCCATTTCCACTCGGGTTTTGCACGTCAAAAGCCGACGCTTGCCTTCCCTTTCGTAGCTCAACGTGGACAGCAACGAGCAGGGCTCCTACGTGGTGGCCATGGAGACCTTCACCAACCTCGGCCCCATCGTCGACATGTGCGTGGTAGACCTGGAAAGACAAGGCCAAGGGCAGGTACCGTTGGCTCTCCTTTCCTTTCCTTAGCGCTGGGAATGTCTGGGCTGGCCGGAGTTCCGTGTGGGTTATCCACGGAAGGAGGAGACTACAAACCATTTACTGGGGGATCTCAAAGCCTTGTGCAGGTGCAGGGATGGTGTTGAGGGGGAGAGGTGGGAGTGTTTAGGATAATTCTTGGATATTCCTGGCCTTGAGGAAGGGGTTGCTTCCTCAGGGAAGCATCAGTTGCCAAAATGTATGCCCCACCTTCCCCTGAAGCCGAAGCATCCCAGCAACACTTGGTAACGACCATCTGCTTTTCTTCCAGCTGGTCACGTGCTCGGGTGCGTTTAAGGAGGGCTCCCTACGGATCATCCGGAACGGCATTGGGATTCACGAGCACGCCAGCATTGACCTGCCGGGGATTAAAGGTGCGTGACACT